CACTATAATTACAGTGTGTCAGAGCAGACTTGATTAATATAGTCCGCTGAGGTGTGGTAATTACTATGTTCCAGCAGATTCCAACGTCATGTGCATCAGCATCCCTGCACTGAAAAATGGCAGTGGGGGTTGTGAGTGGGTGGGCTTACCCACTACTCTTCATCCCAATGGAATCGCAAGGGCCTCTGCCTCATCTTCTTTCCCTCTTGCCTGCCATATCTTTGATGTCAAGTTATTCTTTGGGAGTATAGCTGGTATCTCTGGTGATGATCATAAGGAAAAGGTTGGTCTTCTGCAGGCCTCCACCACCCCTACATCCTGCCCCTTTCCTCTCAGGTGATGAGTTGTCTCTTCCTGTTAGTACTGAGTGTGCATCGCCAGTTCTTGGATCCTCTCTAGCCCAATTGGCTGTGGGCATCATGAGACTTTGATGGCCATGCCCTGTAGGCAGGTTGCTCCTCCTCAAATGTTTCAACCCTACTTGCGGTAGTCTTCCTTCTCTCCAGGATCAATGGACTCTAGGGTGATGGGGTCTCTACCTGCCAGTCCCAGGGTCCATGATCAGATGCCACTGGGTCTCAGGTGTTGACTCTGTGGCTTGATTAATCAGAACTCAGGTGTGCAGGGAATCTGGCTTTCCCCTGCTACATTTCCCTAGCTTGGGATTACTACATAACACAAGAAAAGAAAAACTTCGGAATCTGTGCTGGGCTTCAGCTTCACTGTCTGAAGCAGCTCTGAGCCAGTGGGCTCTTTTACTTGGTTCCTCCGGGCAAATCCCTTCTTTACCTGGGTTTGTCTAAGACGCTCCAAGACTCACTGTCTTCAGTGTCTCCTCTTGCCCTCTTTCCTGAGGGTTTCACACCCTTTCCCTGGGGCATTCCTTCTCCCGGTGTCCCCACCTCCCCAGCATATGGGCCACCCATAAGCAACCCACCATCCAGCTTCACTTATCTGGGTGGTAGGTCAGATTGGCTCCTCACTTGAGGTCACAGTCTCCCTGGCATCCCCAGCAGCTTGATTTCCCCAGCCCCTGCTGGGCGAGTTCCCTCAGAGCACTAGGGCAGCGTCACTTGCTCAGTCTTCACTGGGCAAGTTCCACGCCTCCTGGTGGCTTACCTCAGCATGCCAGGTGTTGTGGTGTTCCCAGACCTGGCCAGGTAAGTTTTTTTTTCTTGGGGTCTGTGGCCAGTGTAGAAAGGGGACATAAGAAGAGGCTGCTGCCACAGTGCCCAAGTGAGCTCTTGCTGAGCAGCGACACACGTGTGTGTGTGTGTGTGTGTGTGTGTGTGTGTGTGTGTGTGTGTGTGTGTGTGTGTGTGTCCAGCTCGGTGCCTGCAGGGTGCTAGCCAGCCAGCCAGGTCCTCCCTTAAGCTCAGGTGAGAGCCAGCAGGCAGCGGGAGCTGATGGCTACAGAGAATAGATGCCACTGCAGCAGCCAGAGATTTCCTTGCTGGGAAGTGAGAGGATATGTGTGTGTGCGTGCACATGTGTGTGTGCACATGTGTATGTGCATGTGCATGTGTGCATACATGTGTGCATGCATGTCTTTGTGAGTGTGCCCCCCACACCCCTAAATCTGCACAATCCTGAAAATTTAAATTGCTAAAAAACTGAAATAAATGCCTAAAAATAAACATTGATTTTAGCCATCAAAATTACTTAAAAAATAAAAAATCAAATTCTGCCAAGCCTACTTATGGACCAGTTCAGACAGAGTGTGGAATGGTTTGCTAGAAAAGTAGACAAATGGTATGATGGTACTGTGAAACAGAATACTGATGCCAGCATTAGTGGCAGAGCAGAGGGAGACAGTGGGAGGATATGATGAAAAAGGGACAAGCAAATAATGAAAGGAGTCATTTGGGACTGAAAGTGGGGATAAGAAACTTAAATTTGATATCACAGTGGAAGGCAAGGTGTGGAAAGATTCAAAGCATAACAGCCAGGAGACATGGTCAGAATGCCACATAAAAAAGCCATCCTTGTTGCTGTCCTTGTATGGGCTGAAGGAATCAGGGTGATCAGAGAGCAGCAAGGTGCAACAGCAAAGATATCAGTGGTGTCAGTGTTATGTTGTGAATGGAGGGGAGAGATCAATCTCTGAATTGTTAGGAATGAAAAAAGAGTGGCTTTGAATGCTGCATGGATGTATGGGGCTAACTAAATTTATTAAAGTTTGCATGCATGAATCAAGAAACAGAATTAGTGCTTATGGAAGAAAATCAGGTCCCTTTCCAATTAGAACCAGACTGAGACAGGGAGACAGTTTGCCTTTGATCCTATTCAACCTGGTATTAGAAAAAGTAATGAGGGGCACAAATAACATGAGGAAGGAGTTCAAGTGAACAGAGAGTTTAAAGTCCTCATATACACCGACGATATAGCTCTCATAAGTGCTCTGAAAAATATGAACAATATAGAAGCTCTGTATACCCAATTAACAAATGAAGTAAAGAAAATCAGACCACAAGTCAAACAAGACAAATATGGCTAGATGATGTAATGTCAGACCTACATACATTAAATGTGGATGACTGGAGAATGAAGGCATACAACAGATGGGAATGGATGAAGACAGTGGAGGCAGCCTAGAACCTGGGCCTATAATACTAAATAACAACAATAACAATGAAACAACAATAACAGTATTGAATTGGTGGTGTTGGTGGTGATATATGGGGCAGGGGAGAAGGGAGAGCAAAAGTGACCCCCTCCCTGCCCCAACACACACACACACACACACACACACACACACACAAACACAGCTACAAGCTTGAGTGACAGAGTAAAAATAATGATATTGTCAACAGTGAGACAAATTAATGAGTGGAGAAAGCTTAGATGGGATTTATGGGATCCGGGTTCTGTTTAGGAAAGGAATGAAGATCACAAGGCCTAAGAGAAGATGTTACAGATAGGACAACATGCAGGATGGCATAGTTGGAAACAAGTCAGCAGTTTCTAAGGTGCCACTCTGCCCTACCTTCCACCCAGACAGACACTGAAGACACAAGGAAAGGGACACCAGAACAGTGCAGTGTCATGGAAATTACAGGCTGTTTGTTTATCTGTGAAGAAATTAATCAGTGCCTTCATTGTCTCATCAGTGTCCATCTGAATAATTACCATCCAGTTCTCTAAATCACAATAGCCTGCTTATTCCACAATTCACAACACATACTCACAGCATAAAGGTATATAGCTCAGAGTGGAATCTGAGATAACCAGCTACTATGACCACACGGCAACCCCTGCAGCTCATACAGGCATACGCAAGTAAAACTAGCTGCCTGGGATCAGTTTAGCTGTAGCAGGACAGAGCTTAGCACAGACTAACTGCCTATGTATTTATGCAGCTCCTCAGGTGGGCCTTGCGGCCTATGCTGAAATCAAGATTAGTGTAACCGCCCAGCTGGCAGTAACCAAAATGGCTAGTTGTAGGCTAGCTTGCATATGTCTAGACCAGAGATGTCAAACATAGCTCACGATGCTCCTCCATTTAACTACTGGTTGGCATGGAATTTGGGAGCATGGGTAGCAGTGGGCAGGGCTTGTGGCAGAATCTGGGGCCCTGAAGCCCAGTGGACATGGTTCTCAGCAGTACCAGGTGAGTGAGGGCTGCAGCAATATAGCCCCACTTTTCTTGCAGCCACTTGGCCTACTGCTGCTTGCACAACCTCTGCCACAGCAAATGGCTGCCTGGCTCATCACCACCAACCCCACTATCACTGCTGCTGTTGCTGTGGTTGCAGCCATTGCTGCCAGCACCAAGGAGCTGGACCACCAAACATCCCTGGGGGAAGGAGGCAGAAGCTAGGGAAACAATCTGGGAGCTGGGGGAAGGGAGG